CCAATCCAAAAAAAAGCACACACTGAAACTACCCAAAAACGCAACAATACAGAACGAGCGCACAGACAATTATATTATTACCAACGTACTTAACAGTACCACTACCGGGGCAACCAGCCGTTCCGCAATGAATAACAACAGAAACCGAACCAGCCAACCATCAATCAGTCAGCTGGTGGAGGAAGCAACCGTTAGGAGTACGCTGACCTGCTATTCTACTATCTTTGTGTTTTTCTCTCTCCGATCATTTTTCTCGCACAGATCCTGTCGAAAAAACGACCAAAAGAAAATGCATAACCGCGTTGGAGCGGAAGATCGTAATAACCTGATTAAAAAAATCGTATTGTTTAATTTTATCATTACTGTATTTACAGTTGGTGTCTGTTTATTTATTATAGTTGGTAACAATGAAATAGATAAGAACGAAATTGCTTAGAGTGTCATTTACTTGCTAATTTACCCGTTAGCGTAAAATAGTGTTCCTTTAGAGGAACCACACTAAAATCTAATGATGAGCGGGACTGCTCTTGGCACAAAAAACCAAGACTAAAAGGCATATTTATTGAAAAATATAAATCCTCATCAGACAAATATTGTTTTTTTCTTCAAACAGTTTAATTTGCATTAAAATACTTAAAATGCAGCGGCAAAGCTTGCATTTCTCCAAAAAATCCTATATGGGTATTTCGGAAACTACTTACCAGCAGTTCGGTTTACAGATAAACAAATTTGCCTAACGGACAAAAAAATGTCTAACGGACAAAAAAAAGACATGAAAAGTAATTGAATTTTTTGAAATTTGCGCTATTTGTTACTTATAAGCTCAAAAAAACATTTTTATGCATTGAAAAATTGCAAGCTTGGCAATTAATATGGGGTAAAAATAACCTATTTTTCAAATAGGCCAGCAACCTAACCTCGAAACACAAGTAAATATTCTTAAGTATGTATATTACGAGGTATATTTTATTGTTAAGTAGGTACTTAACCTTGGACGCTAAATATAAAAACTTTAAAATACTTCATATAAAATAGGTCAACACCAAAAATTTTTGATCGTGTAAAAAGCGCGAAGGCGGCTCATTTTCAATGCAAATGGGCTAGAAATGATGCAATCAGCTTCCCGGCCGTCGCCACGTGCGTCTAATCCACATCCACTGTTGCCAGATATCCAACAAAATACCTGTTTAATACCAGTTTAATACCAAATAAAACCAGTTTATTAACAAATAATACCAGTTTATTACTAAATAATACCAAATTACTACCAAAAATACCAAATTAGTACCAAAAGTACCAAAAAATACCAGTATTACCAAGTACAATAAATTGTACAATAAATACCACCAGAGGTTTGCCCCTCGGTTTAGGTTATATTTCCAGAACGGCAGCTCCCAACGAAAAACTAGTTACGCCACTGAATTCTACGCGATAATAGACATTATCACGTGAAAACGTGATATGTGAAAACTGAGCCCAGTAGACACTGGGCTCAGTTTTCACAATTTCGATAAGTTATAAGATAACCGAGATATGAATAAGGGGGTCGAAAAATGCAACATTTTAAATTTCGCCCTGTATTTCAAGAACTAAGAGGACAAATCTGTGTGTAGCATCTTTAGTTCCATAAAAAAGTAAAGACAGTGATGTAAAAACCGCATCTTTGTATCTCTACACATAAACGAGGTACCCGGTAAAACACACGAAAATGGGACACCCTGTACAATAGAATAATCTTGACTTGACAAGTTTTGAGTAAATCTTACTGACATTAGCGACTGCTAACAATTCCTAGTAAAAATCGACAAATTTCTTGCTTAGCATTTCCTATTGATTGTTAAAGAAATTTACTGAATTTCTGATATTCACTGTAACATATACAATTGATTGTGACACATACCTGTTGGGCAGAACCTCCACTCGATCAGGAATCTCCTCCTCCCACTGAAATTGGTTAGAAGGAGGAAAATATGTCCAGTGCTCAGCCAACATTTTGCCAAAAAAATGTATTTTATTTCCAGTAAAAAAAAGTTAAAAGTTCCTGCATATTCAGAGCAAAAATACGTTCAGCTTAAATAAAAAACCATTTCACTTTCTATTCTCATCTGTAATAGTACGTCACAATATATAATAATAACACACCAAACACAAAACTTTCTTTCAAAACCGTCGATGAAGAATTCAAACCGATTTTAAATCATAGCGTGCTAAGAATAATAACTAACGTATCGCCACTGACAGTGAAACTAAACTAGGTATATATGTTGTTGTTAAATGTTTAACCATATAAAATACGAAATTGGAGGGAAACATTGTTGTTACTGATTTTTTATTGGGTATAAGCAGCTATGTCTGTACTTGATATATAAAGATAAGAATAAAAAAGGGTATTCACGATTTAGTGTTTTATTGTAGCTGTAAATCAAGGCACAAGGTTGATATCTCAGAAAGAAGTTATTATTTTGATAGTATTGTTTTAAACATACTTACGTTGTAATAGAACATGAAAAAAATATATAAATGCAGTAACGGAGTTACAATAAAAAGATATTTATATTTAAAAACCAATAAACGATCGAGCTGCAAAAGAAGCAAACACTCCACTAACTGGACCAGAACCGTTCAGATTCACAAGTGGAAACCAACTTAAAGCGGAACTCAAGAACCTGGAAAACTCCATCCTTAACCTGTAATTGGAATCCTCCAAGGGTGTAAGACACTCGAAGAAATTTCTCTGAATTTACGACAGAAAAAATCAAAGATATTCCTTGAGTTAACAAAGAACAATCTTCAAATTATCACGGAATTTTTAACAGGAGACTGTCTCCTCAACGACCACCTCAGAAGATTGAAGCTACGTAAAAACAGCGAATGCAGATTCTGTGGAGAAAATGGGGAAACATCAGAACACCTCATCACTGAGTGCGCCGAGATGAGCACCATTATGAGCTATGAAGTTTGGTTACCAATCAGTGACAGGCCGTGACTGTGATTATAGAATATCAGTGATAAAGTCACAGTTAGCGATATTTAACTCATCACTAGTATGGTAGTACTGATATCGGAGATGGAGAACTAACCTCTGTAAAACCTTTTTGTTTAGTCCGATCCTGCCGTGTTAACCGATACCCAAAAATTCTGAACACACGTGCCTTGATTAAGGCTTGATTAAGGTTTGCAGAACTTGAGCATTTGCAATAGAATAGCGAGCAATTTGTTACAAAACCATATAAATTATATATCACTGTAATCACAAAACTTCAATCTATTTCAATATTGTAAGGGAACTTTAAATTATGCCTTTATTTTCGAGAAAATTTAGTCCAAACATAAGGAATATTTTGTTGATGTTTGACCATCAAAATCTTAAAAATAAAGTTGTCTAAAAATGTGCTACAATACGGATATAGTACAATCCTTTATTTTTAACTTCCTTCTTCATTTGTGTAAAAATACCTAGCCATTTTTACATAAAACGCTAAATGCCGAACGCTTATTTTGCTACTTTTTCGGACTAGTGAAATGGACTCTTAAGGCCAACTGGCAGCAAGCGCCATTAAAAAATACGGGCCAAGTAAAAGACGTCATTCCCCAGCCATCTTTAACGCCGATATATTTATATACGTTATACAGTATTTTTGTCTTACTTTTATTAAAAGATCCATATCGAGGCACACACTACTCACACGAAAAAAAAACATGCATAAAATTAAAATTGCAAACAAGATGAAATTTAAAAATGTATTCAAAAGAAAAACAACTAGGTAGGCCTTCAAATGTATGCAGTTGCATAAACAACTGTGGTGTTCAAATCTAAGTTGAATGCTGAAGTTTTTGCAGAAAAACCTCTAATCTAATGGAATTCCTACTGAAATAATCACTGATTATGATCTTGGTGATTGAACTTTTGATTTTTAAATTACACCCTTTTTACTTTATTTGACAGACAATGGTATTCTGACTAAAATGACATAGCATATGTCACCTTTTGACATTTTCGATTAAAAAATAGCATTTTAAATTTTAATTTAGAGTGCCATGACTATAAATGTAACGACAATTTGATTCGAAATACCAACTGTGTAGAACCAAATTATTCGTCCAACCCTCGTTACATTTAAAAAAACTGAGATATTATGATTCAAAAGACGATTTGAGCATCTTTTAACCGGCCAGGACAAGACACGAAAAATATTAGACGATCAAATCTATTTTTCCAAGGCTCAAATAAAAATTACTGTTTTTAACACAACCATGGCACACTCTAGATCGAAATTTAACATACGATTTTATATAGTATTAAGCGAGAATGTCTAAAATTGACATATATGTCATTCTATTCAGAGTGCCATTTTCTATCGAATAAAGTAAAAAAATACGGACGGTGCCATTTAAAAATCAAAAGTTATCATTCCGGTATCATTTCCGGTGAAACAGGAAGTGACCGAAAACAACTGAATACGACAATCAATGCTAATTTTTGTCATATACTAACATACCAAATATCGTTTTGTTTTACCTGAAAAAATAAAATGATATAGGCCACTTTTGAGACGCACCCGGTATATGAATTGAATTGATAATTCAATATTTTTGGTAGAATAATCAATCCAATTATGCCAGTGCCATCAAGTGTCGAAAAACAAATGAAAGAACTGTATATTTCTGTTTCTGATCCCTAAAGTAATTGTCCGACCAAATTATCGCCGGTAGTGCCAATTACGATTCTTGTTTTTATGAAACGTAAATTGTGCATGTGGTTCGTTCAAATGAACGAATCGTAGGAGTCGATTATATATGAGAAATTAAATCGTGTGGTTCGATTCACTAAAAAGAATCGTAATGTCCATCACTACACCGGATATACAGTTCATGTTGGTTGTACTGTAGCACATCCTTGATCATATTAACTACAATAAAGGTACTATTTAATTAAACAAATTGACTTGTTTTATGCCAACTATTTCGTTTTAACATAAACCGTAATTTATTGGCACTGCAATTGAGTTATTGCTATTTCGCAAACACACATAGACAAAAAATTGGAACTCTTATTTATTGACTTAAAAAATCTTACATATTAATTATAGAAATTGAGTACAGATTTTACAAAAATTGAAACATAATTAACAAAAAAAAAGACAGAATTCGCTTTTTAACAAAGAAATTATTCTTTTGGTTCGAAGAAACTACTAGGTTTCTCCTCATCTGGCGAAGTAGGAACTTCATCAGTTATATCTTTAATCCAATAACCCGAATCATCAGGATATACATCATCCTTGTTTTCCTCCGGTAATAAATAATTATCAATCTTATCTTCAGTTATGGTAATTTGTTTTTCTTCATATTCTTGTACAGTATTTTCTTCTGTATCTATAGCTGAAGTCATGTCTTTCGTATCTTCCGCCTCATTTGGTTTAGAATCAAAGGAATCGACTTTTTCGATCAAAGTATTGCTGTCATCGTTATAAATACCTTCGTATTTTGATTCGCATTTTTCAGGTTCCGCACCTAGATAAATATACCGATTTAATTATTACTGCAAATTTCAGTGACAATTTCAATCTAGCTACGTCAGAATGAAGCTATCTGTCTCTAGTACTATGTAATCAAATAAAAACAACATCATAGTAGGCGAACAAATAATACTCAGCTGTCAGGCAGTCGTTCATGATGTATTTGATGTCCTCGTCAAACATCAAACCTATTTAAAATATAAATAATTTCTAAAATAGTTGGCATTTAAGAACTATATTTTTATCTACATCCACATCTACGATGTAGTTGGAATTATGGACATGAATAACACAAATTATTTCTTTGCTATGGTTCGGAGCTATGGACTCTGAGTGCAGACGCGAAGCGCAAAATCCAAGTTATTGAAATGGACTACCTTAGAAAAAGCGCAGGTATATCTAGGGTGGAAAAAAAGACAAACATCGAGGTTAGGCGTATCATGAATGCATCGGAGGAAACAGTACTAGATCGAATCGAAAAATCCAGCTAAAAGTGGTTTGGACATGTTCTGCGTATGCCGGAAAACAGGTGACCAAAACAAGTTTTTCAATGGGCTTCCCAGGGCAGAAGAAGGAGAGGTAGACCTAGAAAATCCTGGAACGGAACGGTTAAGGTTGTCGCCCACTAGACCGCAGCGCGACGCGGCGCGGCGCCATGTGAAAATTTCTTTTGTCTGCTTGCCATGTATTTAAATGGACCAACGCACATTAGAGCGCGCAGCGCAGAAGCGCGCCGCGGGATTTCCGTCAAGAAGTCGGAAGACTTCTCTAACAACTTTTTTCCGTCTCCCGCGTTTTGGCGCGTTGCAGTGTGCGTACTCACAAGGGAAATAATTTTGCATTCGAGTCTTTTCAGTTGGCTTTTTGACTAGGAACTAGTGATACGTATCAATGGTAGAATTGTATTTTTAAAGGTAAATTAGGCAAATCGATTTTCATAAAGGAATATGATATTTTTTAAGTCTTCCCTCACTAGAGACAGATGGACGAAATGCCGTTCTATCAAAGATTTAATATAATTGAGGGGTGTAGAGGCAAAACCGGCAATCTCCACTTTTTAACAAAGTGACAATCTCCAATTTTAAATTCTAATTACCTAAATATATAAAAGATCAGGGTTTTTCACCACATAACTAATATACACATCAGAATAAATAAGAATTATCAAAAGTATTAGTAATTTGTCTCTTCTGAAAAAATATGATGAGTAGAGATACTCGGTGTTTTGCTTCTAAAACCCTCAATTGAGGAGTACGTAAAATGTTTCCTTTATATTTTGTAATACTGAAAAAAATGATCTTGTCTTTTATTAAATCTGGAAAAAGATGGTAAAATTCTCCAAACTTCTTTCTTTTTTTGTTAATCGTATGAGTCAAAACTTTTCCTCACCCCCTCTTCCTCTTCCTCTGTTAGAAGAGCACAAAAAATACGCTTTCATCCGTACTTGAACTCATTACTTTAAAAACTAAACTACAGTAAGTAAAAAACACTTCGACTATACCTAAATAGCGTTGCCGCGTTTCAAAAGCGCGCTATAGTGGGCGCAGTTCCTTCGCAGCCGGAAAAAATTCTCTTCCCAGCGCCGCGCCGCGCAGCGGGCGACAACCTTTAAGGAAGCAACGGAAGCTCGTAACCTAGAAGCTGATGACGCTCTAAATCGAGATGTATGGCGTAGGGTAACGGGAAGGCAGCAATAGGATGTAGTTGGAAATGTGTATTAAATACTTAAACCAAAAAACCCCGTTTATATACAGGGTGTTTCAAAAAACATCTCCATCCAAAAACCATCTCTCGTGGGGAGATTTCGCACGTAAAAATAAGATTTATTTTTCATATCAACATAGGTCCGATTCTGCTTTGTTTCGTCGCTACAGGGTGTGAAAGTCTTAATATTTTTTCGATTTATTATAATTCTTTTTCAAGTACTTTTAGCGTTTCGAATGAAATTTTGAAGGTAAAAGTTACTATAAATGCGACATATTTTAAAGCTAAAACAGTGTCGACATATTCGCCAGTGACGTGTATATGGGTTATCACTGAAATTTTCTAAAAAAACATGTATGCCACTGACTTTTTTTCTCTTGTTAGCGAAATAGTGTAAGCAGTTTGATGCTGATTAAAAGTTGTCTCTCGATATTTTGTCGATTTCGGCTTCCCTGATGAAATAAACGCAATTTTATTAATTTGCCTTGGTCCAAGTCTAACAGCAACCTTTAAAAAAATGTAATATCATTAACTTGCGGAAGTTTTAAATAAGTATTCATTGATTCCTCATCAATAATGAAAAAAATAGGATGTTACAACTTTTTAAAATTATGTTTTTTGTAATTATCTTAAATACAATTATTTTTTTAATAAAATTGCATTTATCTCATCAAGGAGGCCGAATTAGACAAAATATGAAGAGATAATTTTTAATTGGCATTAAACGGCCTACACAATTTTGATATCAAAAACAAAAAAGTCAGTGGCGCATACGTTTTTTTCTTGAAAAATATTCCAGTGATAACCCATACACTTCCCTTATGAATTTATCAACACTTTCTTAGCATTAAAATATGAAGCACTTATAGTAAATTTTAGCCTCAAAATTTCATTCGAAATTCGAATCATTAAAAGTACTCGGGAGAAAATTATAATAAATCGAAACATTATTAAGACTTTAACACCCTGTAGCTACAAAACAAAGCAGAATTGGACCTATGTTGATATGAAAAATAAATCTTAATTTTACGTAAGGAATCTCCCCACGAGGGATGGCATAAGTTTTTTTAAAACACCTTGTATATTTAATAACACAAATGAACATAAAGTTCTTATTACACCTAATCAGCGTCTCCTTTCTTGTTCTATTTCAAGAGGAACAACTTTTTTTTAGATACACAGACAAGACAACAGTATCCTCACCATAATTTCGGTCATACAATATCGGCAAATAGGATTTTTATCAAGTTATCATTTTTAAATAAAAAAGGGCGGGGAAATGTATAATATTTTCACTCAATAAGTTTAATACATTCACGGATAAAAAAGTTAGGTTAGATTGTACCCTATAAGTAGGGGTCATATTCACATCAAAATCACATTTCTCAAAAAGCACCTACTAAAAAGACACCAATTTTCATCCAAATATCGATCTTAGTTCAGAAATTATTTGAAAAAAATCGATATAAAAATGAAACTTCTACACCCCGTATCTCCGAAACAAAGCATTTTAGGGCATTATTAGGACATCAATTTTTACAAACTTTTTGACTTCCTTTTTTGACTATCTGCAAAATATGCTGCCGTAGTTTCCTGAAAACAATTTGGACCACCCTGTATAACGATTTTTAATAAATACAAGTCAAAATTGTGTGTAAATAATAATTTAACATTAAAGATAATGTCAGTCCAAGTTAATATTTAATTCCAGGCAATGAAATGGCATTTCTACGTCTACTATAAAGTCATCGTTTTCATTTGATCACACTTTATATTAGAGAAACGATATTCCTCAATTTTGATAGTATAGTGTACGTAATAACATATTATATTGGTTTTGAATTAACTTAGATCAGGTTAATCCATGCTATCATCTATAATAAGCTCGCTCAATTTTAACGGTCGAACTGGCTAGCTTTCAATTACTCTAAAATGATTGCCACGTGCAGTTCAATTACTGTAGAATAGCTTCAAAATGTCATTACTGAAATGCGGAGTATGTTGTGATAGAGTATTTTAACAGTATCCAGAGTCAAACAGAGTGAAATATACAGTAGATATATTTTGCGGAATTTTGAAAAATTAAATTTGGAATTAAAACCCGTTTTTAAAGAATCTTTGAAAAATTACATCAAAATTGGGTTTAATTCATACTTTACACTTAGTTTTCTTCAAAAAACAGTGATTGGTTCTATCTGTGTGATATATTTTATTTTTTAACGTTTTAGAAATATTGCAAAAAATACCAGGTGACTAAATATTTTTTCGATACTTATTGGGACTAAACAGTAGAACTCACTGCCAGAATTTCTTTAAAAATTTCAAAATACTGACTCTTCCTTCCTTATTCATTTTTGAATCCGTTTGCTTAATCCGCAAGCACATATTCTCTATTCCGGAAAGGCCTTCTCACAACTATCCATTTAGGAATGCGGAGCACGATATGTATCTGCCAACCCCGAGCTCAGAACTAGTTAAGGGCTCAATACTGTACAATGCCAAGAAAATGTACAATCATTTGCCTTCGAATATCAAGTCACTTTCATTCTTTCCCGCATTTCGCAAAGCTCTGAAATCATACTTACTGGAGAGAGCCCTATATGCGGTAAACGACTTTTTGTTGATGTTTAATCATGAACAATTTAGAATTTTAATTTTAATATTTTGATCATCTCACACACTGGTTAAAGATCTAGTATTTAATTTTTTATAACTCTTGATTTTATGTTATTATAACCATTTATATTATAACCATCCATTTACAGTTTTCCTTTTGTAAAATTTTCTAGATACGCCTGTGTTCTGCAATGTCCATATATGTTTTATTTGTAATTTTATGACGTAAATTTTTTTTTGAATTGATTTGTATTGTATGACATTTTTTGTATTATTTGTATATTTGTTTTTGTGCTTTTTTTGTTTTGCTTTGTCGATGAAGCTGTTTTGGCTTTTTGTACAATAAAGCGTTGTTTTTTTTTTTTTTTTTTTTTGATCAAGTAGATCAAGTAAGATTTGATATTGACATTAAATATGACCATTTTTAGATCTTCTCAACCTACATTTAAACATCTCCCAAAATTATAAATTGAAAAAATATTGATTCTTTTTTGCTGCAAATGTTTTATGACATATTCTCTCAAAAATAGGGGGAGACACAACTAGAAATAATGTATTTCTCCGACATTTCAAATGAGCCAATCTGTAATTTTATACTATACAAAAATAACACAGCTTTTATACAGCTTTATGTTTTACTAAACTCACTTTACACCCAAAAGATATTTATTAAAC